GCGTGATTAATGATCTCTACGTAAGTGAGATTTACCATTAAGAATGTGTTTCTGCACTTAAACATCATGTGTGTTTAGAGCAGCGGTGCATCTGTGTGCATGTGCGGATTTGGTTCCTCAGTTTTATCCTCTTCTACAAGGTCCGCTGACCAAATAACAGAGCGCAAAAGGCAAGCGGTCATGCTGTTCGGACATTCCACGCCTACACTGCCAAACAGAGCACAGCATTAGAAGATCTGAGAGAGGGAAGACAAGTATTGAACAGACTGGAAAAAGAAAAAAAGAACGACGCCTGGACGAACAAGCCGCAACCTCATTTTGCCGTCCACTTTTAAAAAGTTCTCCAAAGTTCCACGCCCAGCGCATTCTGCCCATTGATTGGGGATAAACACATTTTGAACACTGCTCTCTCACTCTCTCTGACTTCCTGCTACCAAAGTGCCGGCTCCTCTTCGGTGATGAAGTTCAGTTTCGTGTGAATGGACTTGTCAAACTTAATTTAGTCGGATAGAAAATGAACACCTTCGCCGAAGCGGTACAAGCTGCAATGTTCTCTGTTTACCGTTGCGATAAGCAAACTCTTGGTCAAGTTGTTCTCAACTTTAACATACATTGATTTACTGCCATTCAATACATCAGCTGTTATTTCCCAGAATTTAAGGGTCAGGAAATCATATCACTTCTTTATCCCTGTGGAAGTTTCTCACCCAGACAATTTACCATGATTGTCTTCATAGCAGGCGGTAAATAGGAGAGAATGTTATTAAGTAAATATGATCCCATAATGGAACCTGGCCAGTTTAACCTTATGTATTAATTCAATGTTATATTGTGTTAAACATGTGTCTCTCCCAGTTACATAATGTAAAGTGATACTTCAGGTGGAATTAAAAGATGCCAGAATATAATTAGTCTTGCACATTTACTATAGATATACATAACATGATACATCATTTGGATCTTTAAGGCTGTGTCAGAAATAAACCCCAATATATTCTATAGTGCACTACATTTATTGTCCGCCATTCAATTTGAGTGTCTGTGTGGAAATGCATCGACTATGTTGTGCCCTGAAAACCTTCAACAAAGGAAAGAAGGAAAGTAATGTTCATAGTATGTACACTACGTTCTGCTAAAAACCGCACAATGCAATTGCTGATGTACAACTCTACATCTGGCAGAGAAAAGGCAGAATGATCACGTTTCAGACATTTCAATTTACTGGTCACCATTTAGTGTCTGTTATAGAGACAACATAAACATTCTAAATGGGCCCGTTTGTATTTCTTGTTGCAATATTTGTTAATATAGGAGTAGCTGACAGGAAGTACACTTGGACCAAAGCTGTTGCCCTTGTAACAGAATGGCAATGAAAAGGTCTAAAGAAGTGAATGAGTGACTGAGGAAGTGGTTTCGGACACAGTTTGAATACACATTCTGTTTCTAGTAGCGACCACTAATGTATAGTATCTGCACTTACACTTTAAGTGGCACAGTTACTGCTAACCAGCTATTAACTCTCAGGCAGCATTTTGAAGGTCTATTGGTACCCTCCGTTAATACTGGTAATGTTTTGTAGAAGTTAAGCCTAACTGCTAATTTATTGTTGGGCTGACTGATATGGGTTTTACAACACACACACACACACACACACACACACACACGTGTCTGTTCTATTCTATTTTGATGTCTGACTGACTGGCTGTGACCCCTTCCCCTTTCCATGCTCCGCTGCCTGCATATTGCCTGGACACCAGTAGCGCCACTGCACAACGCTCCATTGGTTTAACACGCAACACGTGGTGGGACCGGCCAAACTGCAGCACAATCAATTGGTTTTTAATGCTTTGAGTAGGCCCCTGAGCTCTTGAAGCTAGCACGCTTGGGCAATTTGATGTTAGTCACTGAGCTGGTGGCAGGCTGCGAGTGTATGTGTGTAAGGGGCCGTCTACTGTGTATATAGCTGGTATGAGCGTGGGTCATAAAGGGAGACAGATTGGTAGCTATGATCCAGTGACGGCGGTGACAGCTGGGGTTAGCAACTAGCAGCCGTATGGTGACAAACTGGAACACAATGGGGACGGACACGGCCACATGGCTACTTCTGGCATGACTGCATGATGAGATGTACACCACGGTACGATGCGGCTACTGACTAGTGGCCACTGCCAATGGCTCCAAGAGGCCTCACGACATAAGGCTGGAAGATGGAGGGCCGTTAGGCAGCCGTACGGTCTGGTTGGGAACAACCAGTATGGACCACGCATATGGCACTGCATAGCAGTGCACACAAATATTAATAAGGCAAGCATGAGCAGTTACACAGACATAGACAATGAGGCTGTGCACATTCTGTCTACCACAAAACAAGAGACTAGGGTCTGCCAGAAGATGAAGGAAATGGTACACACATCTAAATACAAAAATGCATTGGTATTGTCCAAATGCACGGACAAATAGAGATTTATTTTTGTGCACATGTCTACAGAATTACACACGTACACATTTGCACAGAAGTGCACAGCGCTGCCCATGCCGAGCAGTTAAGCTATTAGAAATATCTGTCATTCTTGTCATTCACTTTGTAATAACGAAAACAGTCAGCTCGTTAGCGAGCTAACTTTAATCCTGTGTGAAACAAGCATCACCAGGAAAGTGCAGTCCTGACAGCAAAGGGAAGAGAAGGCCCGGTGAGTTAAGAAACTCGCAGGACAGGCAGGAGGTCGCATGGCTGAAAGGCAAACTGAGTGGCTCGGAGGGCAGCTGCAGCTGTGTGTGTGTGTGTGTGTGTGTGTGTGTGTGTGTGTGTGTGTCGGCCTGGCTGGTGGCCTGCTGCGACCAGATTACATGTTCACTGTCCCACAGCGGGAGTGGAAGTGAGATGGGTAGGACTGAGTGCTAAATGGCCACAGCTGGGAGCCACATGGCTGGTCTAGCATTCCAGTGAGTGAGTGCTGGACCATCAGCAGAGTCCAGTGTTTCCAAATTTGCTCAATCACAGGGACTCGCTTTATCTATTTTTTTTCATGGTAGCTTGAAGCAAACACATTTTTTTCAGTAAAAGTAGCAACAGAAACAGTTTATAGAAAATAGGAGTTATTTCAATTTTTCGGATGCCTCTTAACATTTGCACCACGTGAAAATTTGCCGTCTGGGTGAACTCTGGCCAACAACAACTAAACTGACTCAGGGAATCACAACTGATTACTGTGAGAAACGACATTACAATGTTATATTGTTCCAGGGATGATAATCTATAAACAAATCTGAAAACTGGTGATCACAGTCCTGCATATTATTGAATAATATCTAGAAAATGTACATAACAAATATTCAGGTCTTTCATAGTATTATAAGTATGTGTGTCACGGTTCTCCAAATCCACGTTTCCTGCAGGCTACCGGTAAGTTATGCTGTGTCGTCTATCGAGTGAGACGACGCACCCAAGTAGGCAGGGCCGGAAAAAATACATAAGGTGGAGAATAGCCGCTCCTGCTTTTGTTTCACCGTATAACTTCAGTGTATCACACTGCACTGCAAGATATTATCATAAATCCTAATAGCAAGGTGTTACCTGCATGCATGTTCATTCATTAGTACAGAATGGTGAACTTTGATGCAACAGCATCAGTTAAATCATGCAGCTTTGTGATTTATTATAACCTCAGCAAGAAATAACTTGCGTTACTCTCAGGGTAAACATTTCATATCACATGCTTATTATGTACTGTACTATAATGCACCTAATTGTCGTATACAGTAGCTCCCTTTTACAATATGCTTTATGAAATACTCGAGCTCTCTCTGTATTGTAGTGCAGCGCACTGTGCTGTAGCACACATTAAGTAAGACGTCTATTTCGCTAATTTGTGTCTGGAACAGTGAGACGATTGTAAAGAATCAAATACACGTGCCCTTGTCTGGTTCAGTGCTGCGGGGGCCACGAAATGCCTCAAGCTAACGTTAAAGCCTCTGGCAGAATGATTAAAAACCTCGAAGCAACATAACGGGAACACTCGTGGAGCTGGGATCAGTTAAAGCCCGACCGTAAAACAATTTACCAAACCACTAATGCTCTTTGTTGCTACAACATTAGGGAAGCAGATCTGGGATGCATTCCAAACAATACTGTTGTTACGTTACAGAAAACATGGATCCAAAAAAGTGAATACAAACACTGGGCTATTAAGAGTCTTTAAAAACATTCTCGTCCGACTTATAACTAAAAAGTGAAACTGCAGTGAAATGAATAAAATAAGGTTTCGCCAGCGAACACGATCCTAAATAACTCATTAGTGTGGATATTATTTGCAGATTGGCTGAGATAACAAAACTACATTATGGACTCTACTGCTGCAATGTGACTACCTCACTTCTCCTGTGCCAGGCTGTGTTGCTGCTGAACTAAATCTAATTAATAATAATTTTTCCCTGTCTGCTGTCTGGACCGGTAACCCCGAGCAACAGTCTGCAGCCCGTCTGCATCGTGCTGCGGTCTGGTAAATGATGCTGAGCGGCTTCCTGGCATATCCAACACCTATAAACTCCCAACTGAAAAAATAAAACCCAATGTGTTTGTGTAATTAGGACAGATGGAAACATGTGGTTATCGGGACGGGATAATATACCTTTATAGTAATTGCAGGACAAAAGTGGTGCAATCGTTTAGCTATATGAAGTCTTCATGTGGCACTTTCATGGTATGTGCATGTATGCAATTTAGTAGGTTTAACATTTGGCCTGCAGCAGAGGAAGAATGCGGCTTAAATGTATTTTTTTTCCCGTACAGAATCTGTTTCCTGATCATTTGTATTGCTCTGAATAAAAAAAAACCTCAATGTTGTAAACCGTTTTCAGCACAAATGTGAAATATACTTCTTGTAACGAGTTCCTCCTAAAACCTTTCAACAGCTCTGGCAAAAATATGCAGAAAGGAGAAACTGAAGGCTAAGGGTGGGCCCCAATAGGGAGCTACTGCAGGTGAACGGTAAAGTACTTACTGTAGGTTGCATAACATATTGTTGATGAGGCATCCATGACGTACTCTGGACCTGAGGAGGAAACACAGAAAGTGTGAAATGATGGTGACAATATAACTTTTTCTCAAGCTTAGTTAGATCCAAGTTGTATCCCACATAAAGCAATAGACGCTGTTCAAATATTCACAATATGTTCAAATACTCTCGAGTCTGGAGGTTTTAAAGTGATTGCATTGGTTTTAAAGCACCAAAGTGGCTGAATTTTACACAGATTAGGTTGTGCCAAAGAATTACAAAGAAGAATTTGAAAGTCTGGAGGCAGCAAATCTCCCTCCTGCCTTCTCATAATTGCCAACAGTATGACTTGTGCATGGAGCCCATAAATTAGGTTCCTTCTCTATTACAATAATATCATTAATGCTGTACCCAGTGCTGTCGCAAGAGGGGTCAGATATTGTGAAAAATTGGGGGGAAAGACTGCTAGAGAGGACCCATTTCAGTAGGCATATTTAAAAGTAAGCAGAAAAGAAAAAGTAAAAGGAATTTGAGAGTGGTCGACAGAGCTTTTCTTTGTTTCAGGGGTATGCCGAGCTGTTACCGGAGGAAAACAAAAACAGAGACATGCATATTCACAAATGTGGACGGTAAAGTTAAAGAGACGGTGAAACAGTGACAAAGACAATGATCAAGAGACTGGAGGGAATGGAGGGAACAAACAGAGCTTTTAGATGTGCTGGAGAGAGGAATTAGACAGCTTGTAGCGGACAAACACACAGGCTGGCCACTGATCCTGGTAAAATGATTAGATTAGACAAAGACAAACACGGAATAATCTGCTATAAGAGCAATCAATCCTCTGTGCCAACCCAAACGCGTGATTTGGATCCACACCTAAACAAAGCTCGATATTCTACAACATGAAGCCAAGTCTGTTTGTTTATACATGGCAGTATTTGTTCTCCCCAGCTGAACGGGACAGCAGATAGACACAGAGAAAGCTTATCTGTAATCACATTAACTTCATGCAAGATGAGGCATGACCATCATGTGATTTATTTAACAGACTATTCTGACTCAAGGCCCCTTTATGACTTTGGACCGTCCCAGACCGATGTGGGGAAATCTTTGGTTGTTAATCAAAAACCCTGGTTTGGATTATTATGAGTCCACTCACGGACAATTTAGAGCTTTGTTGGCCAAAGATGCAAATCCCACAATGTGATAACTGCTACGGACCACGTTTGCAAACCAACCAATCGGAATGCGACATGGAACAATACAGAATACACGAGAGAGCTGGTGTGATGCAAAACAAGGGCTTAGGTGTGCGCAGGACGACAGGGAGAGGTGACTGTTCGTTTGAAACAATAATGGCGGCTCCTGAGGACGTTAGCATAACTGCTACAAAAGCATCAGTTGTATAAGAAGGGAAGAGTGTTTCTTCAGCGAAAGAACGGCACTGAAGGCTTTTCACGATGGAAAAGATGATTTTGTTCTCCTACCGACTCGCGTCGGTGAAGAGTTTGATTTGACAGATTGTTCATCCAATCACCTGCCAAGTGTTGTTTTTTTAAAGTGCCTGCCCTTCTCCAAACACTTTCCATTGACTGCTTCTCAGATGGTTCCGCGTGACAAACCATCTGCCGGGTCAGGTTAACGATTTACCAGACATTCATTGCACCATCTGACATGCTTCAACACTCATAGAGATTGTAAAACTGACTGAGATTAGTCCCATTTTGCACACTGTCGGCAGTTACAGATTAAAAAATTATTTGCATGGGTAGAATTCAGAATAAAGAGCATTACAAAACAGCTAACCAGGATGCTACAGAATACTACTACCGATAAATGGATACACGGAATCGGAGAATAAGAGTTACAGAACTTCTCGACAGTAAAATATTGGCTGTCGGAACTTCTGCCTCCCTGCAATGGCAGAATCGGATTGGATTGTGTGTTGTGGAGGTCAGCGTATTTGGGTTCAAAGTTCAATTTTGTTTGACTTTTGCCGCACAACCTTGACAGAAAACCTGTGCCGTGTGCCATTATGGCTCATGCAGCTGCCTGAGAGAGCGCAGCCTCTCTCCCTCAGATGGAAATGATGGTCTATTAAAGAACAATATTGAATCAACCAGAGAGCCACAGGCAGCGAGCTATCTCTACAGTATTGAATGTAGGGGGGAAACGGATCACAAATGTCACGGTTGGGATTTTAGCAAGTTTTGGGTCACGCAACGGATCAGCAGAAAAAAAGGAACATCAATATATTTTTGAGCTCTTTTGGCTGATACAAATAGTTTTTGTTGTTTTGTTAAGGCAACTTTGTTTATCACCACTGTCCTGAAATATAGTATAAACCGCTCAAAGGGACCAGGAACACTGAGGACTTGTCTTGACTGACTCCACACTTGATTTTGATTTTCCCCAAAGGACCTAAACCCGCTCTGACGGACTGGTTTTGCTTATTGCTACAGTAAGTAGGCTACAGTTAGGGAGGAGCACATGTTCTATAGCTACAGCAGGTTCAGTGGGAGCGGATGCTATAATGTGCATGACCTGAGCAGCTCCCTACCGCTGGCTGAACTTCACAGCTTGTGTTACCATTTAAAACAGCCTGTCGGCCAATAAGACAAAAACAAACAAAGTCAGACAGTCCGACAGTTGGCCAACGACCCATCCAACCGGTTAGCTAGGTAGTAAGCCAGCCAGCCACATATTTAGTCAGCCAGTGAGCCAGTCTGCAGGGCCAGTGATGTAAACCAGGCCACGGCTGGCTGGCGGCACCAGCTGAGATCTTGGTAGAGATCTGGCCTTGTCTGGCTCCCGTCATGTGGATCATCAAAGCTGTTTTTCCAGGAGACAAAGCCAATCATCATTCGAGCCCACGGGAGGCTTGAAAGAACACCAGAACACTGCTGTTGGCATGGTTCATTTGCAGATTTGATAAATCAATGCCACCAAACTAGCAGCTCTAAAAAAGATCCACTCAACATAAACATAAAAGAAGGAATGGCATATACTGTCATTTCTATGCAGCTTGAGATTTTCATTACAAAGGCAGCAGTTTCCATCATAAAAGGAAGCGATTTCCTTTTGTCTCGTGTGTGCGGCTGCCTGGCTTGTCGTCTCTTTTTCCTTTTTCCTCCGTCTCTTTGTACTTGAACAGAAGATGAAGGACTCACCTTCCTGCCGTGACTGGCTGAAGGGCAATATTACAGGAAGCGATGGCAGAGCTGCCCGATATTGAAACTGTGAGGATTAATATTCCTCAAAAGCCTGGCCATTGTTTTTGATAAATCAATTTGGGAAGCCTTCCGAGAGCGGATTAGAGACGCACCCTGGCCCACTTTTCTCCCTCCTCCCCTTTTTCCCCCCACCCCTCTACCGCAGGTACTGGACCAGAGTTTTAATCAAGCGTGCCTCAAAGACGGGCACAGCAACCTTCAGCAACACCCCTCCGCTGCATCGCCACCATTACCACCCGTGCTATCCGTCCTCCTCTCCGTAGTTGTCTCTCTCTCTCTCTCCATCTGTCCCTTCTATTTTCCCCATCTATCCTTCATCTCCTCTCTCTCGCTCGCTATCCTCGTCTGTCTCTGCATACCAAACGGAGCCGATGTTAAGCGATAGTGTCTGAGCGAGAGGGCACGGTGGCAGCGCCTCTTGATGCTTCGATTCGGCAGAGGGTGCTGCGTGAAATGCGCGGCGACGGAAAATGGTTAACGCTCTTGACATCTCACACAGCCAATTTTCACGTTCCTGTTCTGTTCTCTTTCATTACTCCACAGATCACAGCCGTGAGGGATGTGGAAATTCACTTTGGAAGAGGAAGCGACTGTATCCAAGTTAGTTAAAAAAACAACCAAAAGAAACCACAACAACTTTATTGCGTTAGCAGCTGAGGGAGCGCAAAAGAGGTCAGGAAACTAGGAAGGAGAAGAGTGTTGTTTTTCATAGACACTTTAATTCATCATGGGTGATTATAGTTGTTTCTACCCTGTCAGCCTTTTTTTTAATGCTTGTTTTCTGATGCCTGTTGTGTTTGCCGCCTACGAAACAGATGTCATCGAGCACAGCTGGAGTGGTGGAGAGAGAGAGACGATGAGAAGAAAAAGACAGAACCTCACGCTGTTCTGCAGCCCACCCCCTCTCTTCCATCCCCTTACACCAGTGGTTCTCAAACTGTAGGGCGCGCCCCTCTAGTGGGGCGCGGTGGTATTACAGGTGGGGCGCAGGGGGAAATGCAGATTTTTTTTTTTTAAGTAATTAATAAATACATGACGAAATGCCTGTACTTTCGTGTAAATGTTTACGTTACGCCGTTAACAGGTTACGCTTGCGCATGCGCGACGGCCATGATAGTTTTTCACAGGTTGCACTTTATTGTTATCTTGAAAAGATGTTTAGTGCAAAACAGGTTAATTGCAGCCAATTGCAATAAGCTATTTTTTTGCCAAATTGTAGTTGTTTTTTGCACAGATATAACTTGATTTGCATTGTTGTAACAAAGTGATTGCACATTGTATTTGTTTTTGTCTGATGGAGAAATCTGGTTTACTTGAAAGTGATTGCAATTTTCTTTATTCTATTATTTGAAAAAGCACAGACGGAGGAGTCACAAAATGCTATTTCAATAAAAGTTCAACATGGACCATTTTGTTACAATTTTGTTGGGGCGGTGGGGCATGAACATTTTTCTTCCTCAAAAGTGGGGCGCGACAGAAAAAGTTTGAGAACCACTGCCTTACACAAAGCAAACCCTCCTATTACACATAAACATACACGGTCAGTAATCTACCCATAACGCAGTGCATTATGGCCCACCTGATATGTGGAAACGGGGGAAGCAGCGATGAAGGGCGTGATGGAGGTCTGTGCAATCATGCGGTTGGTGGCAATGCTGTAAGGCGAGGAGTAGAACCTGAGGAGGGAGAGAGAGGGAGGGAGGGAGAGAGGGAGGGAGGGAGGGAAAGCGAGAAGGAGGCAAAGAGTAAAGGAAGAGGAGAGGACACAGCAGAATTAGTTTGTCAAATTCATAATAGGTATGTAGAACATTATGTGAGCCTGAAATTTTGTGGCCTTGATACAAAAATGGTGTATTATCTGACAGATATTTGTCTTTACTGAGGTTTCTCTGTCTACAGAAGAAAGAAAAACTTACAAACTAGAGCGTGCGCACACACACAATCACACACACAAACACACTGTCGATTTATCCTGCAGCTTGTTCAGGGCAAACACATGGCCTTGTATTGTATTTCGAACGGCACATAAAAGTTTCATGAAGTGTCTCATAGCGTTCTCAATTGAAAAGTCGTGTTTTATCACATCAGATTGAGCTTTGTCATCATATAACGTAGGTGGTGCTATTTTTTTTTTCCAATGTGGACTCTAGTGTTAAGGCTACACTGTACCGTGCTGCCTGGCTGGCTTTAAGCAGCACTCTTGTAGGCTGAGCTTTGGGAAAACTCATTGCATTTCAAGAAGCTGTAAGGTTTGACACGAGCTGTAGAGAAGCGAGGTGGTTGGCTTTGCTACTTTATCTCATTGCTGAAGGTTTATATAGCAACCGAATGTGATCCCGAGTGGAATGTCCAACAGGCACCTGAGCTGAAGATCATATTGCTGGCCGAGTATATTAGACAAGATGCTGCATAAGCTATTTATTATATATATATTATATTATAATCCAAATGTTCTGTTTGGAGTCCTGGAGAACCCAGGCCCAATCAAGCTCAAGCTCAACCCAGCTCAAAAAACATACTTAACATTGATTTATCAACTTGATGCTACATAACTCCAGATGTGTGTCACACAGAAAAGCAGTCAATGGAAACTGTTTGGAAAAGGGCAGGCACAAACATGTGGCAGGTGTTTGGATGAGCCACCTGTCAATCAACGAGAAAAGCTTCTCTCCTCTTTCAATGAATGAATACCCTCCAGTTCTGATATAACTGATGCTATAGCAGCATCTACGCAAACCTCTTTGGGAGCCGCCATTGTTATTTTGAATGAACAGTCGCCTCTCTGTGTCGTCTCGCACACAACTAAGCCCCGCCCATAGCTGCCTGCAGCTCCTCACACGATGCTGATTGGTCCGTGCTCATTTCTAGTAAATAAATCTTTTTGAATTTCTCTAATTGGAGTTTAACAATAGTTTGTTCACAAGAGGTCAAAATGGAGGTTAAACCTCTCTTGGGTCTAACTGACTCTGACGCCATACATGTGAAACATCACTATGTCAGATAACATATGTGACAAGAAATGTGTTTTGTGAGGTCTCAATAACCTTGGACCACCAAATTCTAATCAGTTCATCCTTGAGTAGGCCACATTGTAAGAAATTCCCTTTTCTGAGATATTGCGTTCACGAGAATGGACCGGATGTACGTATGTGTGAACGGACAGACAACCCGAAAACACCCCGAAAATACCTCCAGCCATGGCTGTCGCCGTTGCGGAGGCATAGCAATAGGGATTTTGCAGTCATACATTTTTTTTGACACATACAGGTCTGTGAGACTCAAAACGACGAAGAAGTAATATCAAAGTCACCAAAGCACAAGGGATAAAAACTCTGAAATACTGTTAATGCCTTACTTATGAGATGCAGGAATATCTTACAGTGTTATGTTTTGTCTTAATATGGGAAAAGTATTTTTTTCTTTTTGCTGTTCCCCCATGAAAGCATACAGTTAAATACATTCAAATATTAATGCAAATGTAAATTTAGTCCCACAACCACAATAGTATATATATATATATATAT